ACATTATTAACTGTCTTGATATTTACTTTGAAAGCTGAAGCTCGCGATTATGGTAAGGGGCGTTACATTTCCGACGAGTGCTTGCGGTGTTCGGCCAATCACAATGCACTGGGTCAGCTGGCCAATCAGAGCAGACTGCGCTTGTCGGAAGGAGGGACTTTGTAGAAAAGAAGCGTTTGAGAGAGGCGGGGCATAGAGGACCTACAATAATGTACAGTATTTAAAAAATAATGTTTTTTGAACATTAAAGCATGTCAACATATTCTGTTACACCAAATACGCAAAATAATGTTCTTTAAAAAAGCATCATATGACCCCTTTAATATTTTTGTGAAATATAAAGTTCGAAAGAACAGCATTTATTTGAAATCATTTGTAATATTATCTGTACTGTAACTTTTGATCATTTTAATGCATCCTTGCTGAATAAAAGTATTAATTTATTTTAGAATCATATATTTTAAAAGTATTTTTATATGTGCCAGAAAATATATTTATGAAATCTATATGAAATCCTCAATACATCACAGTAAACCAAACATTAAATCTTAGAAGGCATAAACACATTTATATGATTAACGAATGTACAATCCAGTGACAACACCGCACTGGCCCAATAAAGACTTCTCAAAACTTTCTTACCCTGGCCATGGGCAAGTGGGCTTATTATAATGAGCCCTGCATTATAATAAGTAGCAGACACTGCAAGCAATATTTGTCAGTTTTATCCAAAGTTATACAGCACTTATCACAGGGATAATCCCTACATCCTATCCCAAATCTCACTACATTATCTCTGTGTTTTTTTTTTAGTGTTTGCAGCCACAGCAGTGAAAATCTGATGACCGTGTCAAATATGGGTGTAATATTTGGCCCCACTCTCATGAGAGCAGAGGAGGAAACCGTAGCGGCCATGCTGGATATTAAGTTCCAGAACATCGTCATGGAGATCCTCATTGAGGACTACTGCAAGGTCAGACATGCCCCTTTCCAGACGATCAGGGGGACAGTTTATCTCTGTATCTATATTTATACAAGCAAAACGCTCAGACAGAAAACAGGTTTCGAATGAGAACTGCTGTATTTGTGCTCTAAAATATTTTGTAATCAAAACAAAAATGCTGTGATTTATGATAGATTAATTTCAACAATATTTAGTCGCATTTTCAGTGGCCTTAACAGTGACATAGATTGATGATGTCTTTTTTTGTAATTACTGCCGTCTCTGATGTTCGCAGATCTTTAAGGGTCCTCCTGAAGAAACCATACCGCCTCCTATTCCTCCTCCAAGGGTGACGCCACGGAGACGGCAGCCAATCACAATCTCAAAACGCCCACCCCGTCTCTACCCCGGCCTTCAGCCTCCAGTTTTTGAGCGTAAATAGCCTTCAGAATGATAGCCATCATCATCATTGTCATCCTCGTCATCACCATCTCTTCGCCATATAATGCATATTGTTTTATCAGTGAAAATATGAATTATATTTTTAAGAATTTCTTTACCATAGATGAAAATGGATTTTTGTTATTTTTTTTTTACTTTTAATATAAAAAAATATTACTTCATTTTTTTAAAGATCTATGCAGCTCCGATAAGACATACTATATTATGTGTTTCAGATCTATATGTATATATTGTTTTTTTTTTCTTCCATTTTTTTCTGCTTTGTCTTACATGTTCCTTTTTTGCTTTTACCTTTTCAAAGCAAAGCCTGTTTTTGTGCTGCAAGCTTAAATACAGTACACACACCTACACATTGAAGTTGTGAGCAGGCGCACACACATAACAGCTGATTGGGTTTCATATGTTCTGGAAGGGACCGTGGACTGGATCTGTATCTCCTTAAAAGGGTTTTCTCTAAATGAAGAAAATACAACCAAACCTCCCTGATCTTCCTGTCACACACACACACTCCTCATGTGCCAGTTTAGAAGCCCCTCCATGCACATTGTGAATTTTATGATTAAATATGCAGGATCTCGAGGTGTGTGTATGCGTATGAGTATATGTGTCTGATCTGATAAATGTTCGTTCTCTTGACATGTTGTCCTCCCCTCATTGTGAGCCCTGTTATGTAGTGTTTAACAACAGTCAAGCTAGTAGTACACTCACTAGAGCATGAAAACTAAACAACTACCTGCCCTTGTGCAGCGTGTGTGTGTTTGTGCATCAGCGCCAATGGGTCTGCGAGTGTGTGTCTTTGCGTGAGTGCGTGCGTGCGCACATGTGTTTTTTAATGCGTGCATACGAGTGTTGGTATGCCTTCGTGTGTGTCCTGTGTGCGCTACCCAGTGTCTGAGAGCTAATGTCTGCATGCGTTTTACGTCTCTCTCTCAATCTGTTTTCCATTGGCTTTGGGACCTTTTTCCTCTAATAAGCTATTTTCATTATTATCATCTGAGCCTTTTTTCTCCCTCTTGATCAAAAACAAATGTACATTGTATTAAACCATTAATATGACTCTCTGGTTCATTTGTATATTCATGAAATTTTAGCTTATTAAAGCATGCTGGATCTTTGCTTGTTCAGATCAGTGGAATACATTTTTTTCCCCTTCTGTTGTATATTTCAATCCAATCATTAATCTAAGTAGATCATAACGGCTCGTTTCCTGTTTGTTGAATTAAGCGGTGGCGGGATCTGTGTGTTTGTGCATGTGTGTGTGTGTGTGTGCCACCTGTTGTTTCATTGAATTTTGGATTGTGCATAAACTTGGTCCTGTGTGTATACGTGTTTTTGTTGAGAATACAGATACAGTTATGGAGTATTAGGAGCAACTGTGTGTGTGGGAACCCCTGCCAAAATACGAATGTGTTTGTGAATGTGTATTCATGCAAATGTGTCCATGTCCAGTTTGGCTAGCTCACACACAGCTGGTTGTTTTGACTGCTGCTGTTCACACACACACAGCTGTTTTAAACTCTTGTCCTTGGTTCTCACATGATCAACCTTTTTTTTTTTATATCAGACCTGTTCACACACTAAACTGGAGTCAAACCAGACTGTCAATCAGTTTGTCTTTCATTCATACCTCATTTCAAATCTTTTTTTCTTTTTTGATCCCAGATTCATATTTTTTTCTCAGTTATATAAGTCTATAAAAACACCTTTCCCTGCATAAAAACCTTTTCATTGTATGAAAGAAACATTAGAGTCTGATTTAAATGCCAGAACTGAAGATAATTTGTGCTCTTAGATATATACTAAATGCAGTTAGCTTTTACCATTTCAAGGTAATAATGCTAATTCCACACAGCAGAAAATGTCATTTCTTTATAAAGAGATCATGAAAGTCAGGTAAAAATCGTCAGGCTTTTCAAAAGATAGTCTTTGACCGTATGACTTGAGCTGATAACAATCAGCGTGTTTGAGTTAAGCCGTTCATGGCTTCTAGACACTTTTTCGTTCAGTTTAAAGCTTCCATTATGTTCTGGTTGTGTTGAAGCTGTTGGAATGAAATGACTCATTTTGGGTAATTTGATTTTGACTAGTTCAGTCTTTATTGGTTTGTATTTCTCGTATTGTGGAAACACAAGAGGACAGAGCATCTGTCGAGCTGTTCTCTTTATTTATTTATCGTAACTATCACAGTCTCCTGCTTTTAAGCCAAAACTACAGGAACAGGACATTTAAAATTTTAACGACACCCCTGATACAATCTCCCCTGTGGGGAATGTTCAGGGCTAAACCCTTGCAATTGGGCTTCTGACCTGCCTAATGTTTAGTAGTGTTTTATCTAAACTGCCTGCATTCACGACTCTTTGCTTTGCAGGGCGAGAGCAAAATGGCGCCACCCACAATGATGGTGAACCTGAGGGAGATACCAGCCTCACCAGTCCGTTTCCTCATCAAAGAACAAAACTGGCACCTCCTTCTGTCTCTCCTCCATCCATCCCGCTCTCGTCTCCGACGTCTCGGAAGCCTGCTCACCTCAGACCTGCTCTCCGGCCCTTGGATTCTGATGTCAGGCTTGAAGTTAGGATACAGGATGGTCAGAAGTCGGACGCCATGGTGACGACCAATGGGGAATCAGGAGTGACAGTGAACCGAACTCAATCTTTTCAAGGAAGGAGGCCACCACTCAGAGGAACAACTGGTAAACAAGCAACACACATGGTCAAACTATTCATCAGTTCATTTTGATGTTTTTGGGGGACCCTAAAATCAAACATTTCAAATTACACATTATATGTATATGTGTGTGTGTGTGTGTGTGTGTGTGTATGATTTTAGCAAATGGCTGCAATATAACAAAGAGTGAAAAATTTAAGGGGGTCTGAATACTTTCCGTACCCACTGTATATATATATATATATATATATATATATATTAAGAAAATCTTACATTTATTTTTGCAAAAGAATATTTTTACGAAACCACTTCACAATTTATAAATTTAAAAACTTTTGCAGTGTGTTTCATCAGCATGCGATTCAATGAACATTCGGTCAAAAAACATAAAACGGGAAAAGATATCATAGAGAGGACCCTTGCAGACCCCCATGACTGTCAAGGCCAGTAAGTCTCTCAGTAAGTGTCTCTTATATCAGATAATATGATGTTTTTATGAAAAGGCAAGATTATTTCAGATGACGGACAGATTATTTCTCCTCAAAAACATAATGATAATTATAAAAGTTATTAATTCTTGATATTGGTAATAAAGCACTTAATACTTTAAAAATACCTTGAAAATATATTTTAAATGTTTTGGAAAAAATTGGAAGATGTACACTCACTAATTTGAAACATTTTATAAAATGTTTTTTTTATTAATGTATATATATATATATATATATATATATATATATGTGCTTGTCAAAGGAGGGGGCTTTGTTGAAAACGACGTGTTTGAGAGAGGCGGGGCATAGAGGACCTACAATAATGTACAGTATTTGAAAAATAATGTGTTTTTTGAACATTAAAGCATGTCAACATATTCTGTTACACCAAATACACAAAATAATGATCTTTAAAATAGCATCATATGACCCCTTTAAAAGGGTCATAGGATGCCCGTTTTCCACAAGTTGATATGATTCTTTGGGATCTTAATGAAAAGTCTGTAACATAGTTTGGTTAAAATTTATCAGTGGTAGTGTAAAAAACACCTTTTTTTACCCTGTCAGAAACAGCTCTTTTCAGAGCAAGCCATTTTTGTAGCATTTCCCTTTAAATGTTAATGAGCTCTTCCCAGCTGCTCTCAGAGAGACTTTTTACTTTAGCCGCATTCATCGTGAAACTTGCTAATTAGCACATTATTAGGAAAGGCGATTTGCAAAGATTCATTACAAAACATTATACTCACTTCTTCTGTAGATGAGGCTGGATCATGAATGATTCGCGCGAACATAGACGCATTTATGTAGATCGGGGGCGCATTCCCTTCAGAAACAAATAATCCACTGCGTCTTCAGCGGCTCAGATGTCGGGAGTAAATGACGACTGCTATGTTCATTATTACATCCAACAACAGAACACCTCAATCACTTAGGAGTCATTCTTGTCTACATCTGCTCCGGCGGTGAAACAATGGCGGACTGATGACAGCTCACTCAGGGCGGGTCTAAGGTAAGACACCAGTCCAGTCTGTGCTGAAACACCACTGTCAATCAAACTCTCGTGGGAGGGGCCTGTATGTGTGACGTAACTCAGACAGGCATCTGAGATCGGCTCGATTTGAGAAAGGGGAAAACATTTAACCAGATTTTTAAAAAAAACACTGGGTGGATTTTTATCATTATAGGGTGGTTGTGTACACACACTGCCAACACACATTTCAGTTCAAACAACTTGTAAAAGTGCATGTAGCATCCTATGACCCCTTTAAAAAAAAAAAAAAAGTGTCAATAATTTATATTATAATAAATGTTTTACGAGTCCCCATTATCTTAGA